GCCAGGTGCCTGTCCAGCCCCCTCTTAAAGACCCCAAGGTAGGGGAGAGCACCACCTCCCTTGGAAGCCCATTCCAGATTTTGGCAACGTTTACTGGGAAGAAGTTCATTCTAATGTCTAACCTAAATCTGCTCTCCGTCAATTTGTGGCCATTGTTCCTAGTTACTCCAGGGGGTGCCCTAGTAAATAGAGCACCTCCTATTCCCTGCTGCCCTCCGCCGATTAATTTATAGGCAGCCACAAGATCACCTCTCAGTCTTCTCTTGCGAAGGCTAAAGAGAGCTAGGTCCCTCAGTCTCCTCATAGGGCCTGGCCTTACTTCAGTAATAGCATTTTTCAATAATCTCTTGTTTAGGTGCCATTAGAAACAGATCATGCTCCCTGCTATCCAAAGATACTCTTGCTCACACCACTAAAGCAGTTTCACTTTATAGATGGGGCAAGATCTGAAGGATTTGTGTAAAAGGTGTAGACCAGCTGCATTCAGTGAACTCACTCATGCGTTAATGAGATACAGATGCAGTGACAGAGACAGCAGGTTTACACTGAAAGACTGAATTTAAAGTTGGGGAGATGCAGTAACCACAAAGACTATTCTAGCCTTTAGATCACAGAATGGCATTTGCAGGGTGACTACAGTTTTTCTGCAGCAGCCTACGGATATTTTTTCCAGCCCTTAAGGGGATACGATACGATATATATGACCATATAAATTCCTCCATTTAGGCACTACAAAAATTTTAATGTCTTGCTCCAAAAGGCATCCCTTATTCACTGTTAACCTGTCCAGTGGGGATGGAGCTGAAGTGATGCCCAAGGCTTCTAGGCCCTCCTCATCCTGAGGGAACACAAACCTATATCTTGCGAGAACTTAATGCTATCCTAACCACCAGACTACAGGCAAAGATAGGTGTGATCTCCCTCCCAAACTCCCATTGACACTGGGCTACTGTAAAGTCAAAGTACAAGACACTGATGGGGCCAGAAGAAGAGCAAGCAAACCGGAGCGACATGGTAGTCCAGTGGGCGACTGCTCATCTCAGATGAGGGGCTGGGTTCAAGCCCCGACTATCAAGGCCTTTTTTGCTTTTTACCTTATATAATCACTGACTGTTTCAGATACTTACAAAAGTTTATTTGGATCTGGCTCTCAATACTGAAGAAAATGAAAACATAACAGCAATACATTAAAATAGGTGTAGAGATTCTTATAACATGGTTTATAACGTGCATGGCTTCATGCTCTCTCTACTGAATTCAGACTTGGCATAGGAAGAGAAAGAAATTTCAGCATTTCAACATTAAAAAAAAATTAAAAGACTTTGGGTATATTTAAAATTATCCTCAAGAGTAATTTTTGAAATGTTAGATTTTTCTAATGAAAAATACCACAATGAGACAATACAGTCTTGTACTTTATAACAGTTGTCCATTGAATAAAAATGTCAGTTTTAAAAGGTGGTTTATCATACCTTGATTTCTTTTTCAAATGGTTTAATGAAAGGTGATCCTCTCATTGTTTGCGTTTTTACAATCTGATCATCTAGAATAGTCTGAATTTCATCTACTGAAGACAGAATACGAACTCCAGTCTCTCGATAAACACTTGTATTGAAGGAAACTGAATCCCAGATTTCCATCATAGTATGCATTGCCTTCTCTAAGGAAAATTCCTAGCAAGGAGAAGGAAGGAAGGTCTTGTAGTCACTGTTTTCTCATTTGATGCATTCAATATATAAGTACACATACTTAAATAATTATTAGGTAAATTTTCAACTTGTTCTACCATCAAATCATTGCCTTATGTTACTATTTTTCTTACTCTTAAATTTTCTGAGATGTAAAAACCAGGTACCATTAATGATGCCAAACAAGCCACAAATGCACACAAGTTCAAAATTATGTTCAATACTCCATCCAGTGGCTCACACTGACATTAAGTAGCTCTAATCAAGAGTCACATAATACCAAGAAAACAAAAATGGTAGTTTTAGTAAGCCATAAAAATAGTATAGAAACATACTTTATTCTTCATTTCTTTCTTAAGAGGTTTTACAACCAAATCACTCTGCTCACCTTACTTGCACCTATACTTATGGTTTCAAATTGTTCCAGGTAAGGGCCAAGGTTCTGCTTTAAAACTTTTCTCAGGGTAGTTCCAGAGTCTGGAGTTAAATCATATCCTATTATACCTGACATCTGCTGCCAGTGGCGAGTCCTTATGCCAGGGTTACAAAGGATAGTCACTGTAGGGATATATTCCTAGTTGTGGGGGCAGAAAAAAAACGGTGATTATAAAGCAGACTTCCATCTATGTAAACAAGCATTTTCCAAATGATGTGAATTATGACTTGCCTATGTAAGCCAAATTATGACTTGCCTGTATTATGACTTGCTCATCCTCCTTTTTTGCATCTAACTTAAAAAGTCACCTTCAACACTTGCTGCTGCTCAACATCGCTACTACTATTTCCAGAGAGACTGAATATTAAGTGACTGTCCATAATATCTAGGTCTACTATTATTTTCAGTACATAAGTCCACATTCCAATACCCTTGGAAGATGCAGCTGTTCCTGATACCCAAGTTAAATCTCTCAGACACTTTCCATTTCGGTCTAAACCTTGTCTAATAAAGCTTTACCACCAATGAACATGTACTCATGGTGAACTGGGGGTGAGAAAGTTGCTGATAAACATTCTAGAAAGTAAGAGTTTTTTTATAAGCCCAGATTCAGATACCTTCCTGCAAAAATTGGTTACACAAGGCAATTGGTTAGCCAAACAATGCAGATGGCTCCATTCACTGCCCTCCTTCAATTATTGCCAAGATTATATATTGATTGTTGTAGAACAATTACAAAATCATGAATGTAGACCTTGGCAGGAGAGTAAAAAGAATTCACACTAAATTAGGGCTCTCAACTGCAGCTAACTTATGCCAGAGGTTTTCAGCCTTTTTTTAGTAAGTGTACCCCTGGTGGCCAGATGTGGAGTGGGGAGGGTGGCATGCAGCCGGATGCAGAGCAGTGGCAGCACAGGGTAGTGGGAAGTGGCAGTGGCCAGCGTGTGCGAGCTTACGCTGCCCCCCATGTTGAGCCAGCTGGGCAGCACTTGTGTGACCAACAGAGGGGAGCCGCTGCCCTCATCTGCCCCCCAGCCCTGCTCCTGGGAGGCGGAGGTGCAGGGTGGTGGCACTGGTGCTCTGTCCCTGCCCACCCACATGTACCCCTAGGGCCCTCCCAAGTATCCCCTGACTTACGTGATTAACACAAAACAAATTAACACATTATTTTTTTTAATCATGTTGATCATGCACATCATTTTGACCAGCAAAGTGGACCAGCTCCAGACTAGCCAGAACCCATGCACATGGAACCCACACTGGTCCGTCTTGCACCTGCTCCAGCAGCACCCACCCACACCGAGCAGCAGCAGAAGCATCAGCGGCTGGGCAGAAGCTGCTACTCAGCATGGGGGAAAAAACAACCCCTTCCCCTCACCACTCCTGGGCCCTTCTTGCTGCAACCACCCAGAGGTGGCACTCAGGTTCCCTGTGGCTCCTCTCTGCTGCCATCACCACCACCTTCAGGCCATCCAGCAGGACAGCAGTGCCAGTGCAGAGGAGCTGCAGGGCAGCACAGGCATGGGCTCTGGATGGCTGCAGCAAGAAGGGCCCAGCAGCAGTGAGGGGGAGTGGCTGGGTGGCCACTGCCACTGCTCAGCATGGGCAGGTGAGTCTGGAGCAGGCATGTGGCAGGCCAGGGGCAGGGCTGTTAACACAGCTTCTGGCTGGTCTGCTCCAGCCAGGGTAAGTCTGGAACAGGCATGGGGCAGGCTGGGTTTGGGGCTTGTGTTGCGCGCTATTGCTGGTGGCGCAAAGAAGCTGAAGGGCACACTGGTTCCCAGCTGTTGGGTGTGGGAGGGTGTTGACTATTGCTTAACCAGGAAATTAAAATTGCAATTAACTGCAACCTTTATTTATTTATTTATTTATTTTTTTAAAATCTCACGATTAACTGCAATTAATTTTTTTAATTGTTTGTCAGCCCTACTCTAAATATTTATCTGTTATTTCAAGCAGCCAAGCCAAGGCAGCCATGAGCACTTCGTAGATCTTAGGAAAAATCCTGTTGCAGCAGTTCACTATTATTATTTTGGGTTTGAGCCTTAAAAGCCAGCAAGTTCAGCAAGCCCTTCTAGGCAATGAAGATTACTCTGATGAATGGATCCAAATGGGTTGCAGTTTGTCACTTCCTATACTTTGGGCCTGACCCTTCCTGGTTCCATTAGGGTAGTGAGGAAGAAAGAGATCTTCTGTTCCTCTCTTGCCCTATGTAATAATTCATGGTTTGATCCAATCTGGCCCCTATATATCACTCAACATTCCACAAAGTGCAGTCATTTTCAAGGGGTTTCCCCAGTAATTTGTATGAATGAACAAGTTCCTACTGTAACCAAATAACAGACATTTTGTAAACTATAGTTTCTCAAGGAGTTGAGTGCTGTGCTCATGATTTGCCCCAGCTGCTAAATATTACTGTATCTTCTCTCTTTTTACCTTAAAGTCTTTGATCTGCTCCAGTACAGCAGAACACATTGTAATAGTTGGATTTGCCTTTTTTTCTTCTTCTATCTTCTCTTCTACTAAGGTTCTGCGCTGCGTTGTCTTCCTCTTTTCTTGCTCTGCTTTCTTCTGTTTTTGTTGAAAGACCCTGGACATTTTGTAAAGCTCCCGAAAAATCTCATCTATCTCAGATTCCATGATTTCTCCATTTAGATCTAAGAAAGCACCATCCATCCATCTGAGGAAAAAAAAACAAAGCTTGAATGCATCTTATATATCACGAGTGTCAAAGCCATCCAGCCCTGCGAGTCAGATGAGGGGCATGGAGCTGGTCTGTGGGTCAGATTGAGCCCACTGATCAGCCCATGGACAGGAGTCAGCCTGCAGGTTGCAGCGGTGTCCCTGGACTGGCCCCGTGTACTTCTTGCAGAACCTACCCCACCTCCAGCTCTGCATATAGCAGGTGCCAGCACCATCCTCAGCCCTATGAGGCACACAATGGGTGGAACCAGCCTGGCATGTGAGTTCTGGCACATGGGACCAGTTTATGACTCCGTTCTGGACTGATCCTGGATGCAGGACCAGCCTGGCATGAGTGCCCATTCAGGGTGCACGCTGCATGGTTTCTTGCACTAGAACTGCTGGCTTGGGCACATGGGGTCAGGATCATGACCGGCCCCAGATCCAACACATATTCAGCACACACCCCAGACTGGCCTCCTGCACTGTTTGCTTCAAGTGCCAGCTCCATTCCCTGCACCTGCACAGACTGCACCAAACAGGTTTTGTACATGCCACATGAAGAGAGGTGAGGCCACGGCCAGAATGGGCTGTATGCTGTGTGCCATGTCCAAGACTCACAAGGCTGAGTGATAGGGCATTGTGGGTCATGACTCTGACACTTCCCTTATATATGAAGCAGGATGAAAAGCATGTCCTGTATGGATTTATAAGACATTTTAGACGTTTACATAACGATTTCATTGTAAAGAGAAAACGCACAAAAAAAAGGAATGGGTATGCAGCTCATGAGCTCGTGTCTCTCAATTCTGTCATTCTGTGAAAACCACTGAAGAGTAGCTAGCACAACGTTCACATTCTTAAGCTAAAATCAGGTCTTGTAACCTCCACAGCATGCGATCACTGCAATGGTAATGGTGATGTGATCACTGCAATGGTGATTCTCAACCAGGGTGCTGTGCAGTATTAGCATGATGAAGTGTGCAATCACCTACATGTTTCACAAGAATAACCCAGAGATTTCCAACAGGAATCCATAGTGTCAAAAACGTTCTGTCCAGTTGTGGTCTTTGAGTTCTTTGCAATGGAAGAGTTGCTCTATTATTTTTCTGTAGTCAAAACAGAGTGAAAGCTAAGAGACAGTATTTTCCAAGGGGTGCCTTGAGTCTAAAAAGGTTGGGAACCACTGCACTAGGTGATACGTTCACAGACTTTTAGCCTAATACTATTAAGCTTGTGCAGCAGTCTAGTACAGCCATTAGAGGACACTGTGATCACTTAAGCATATCTGCATTCCATTGTGCAGGCAGACAAATTAAAAATTGAGTAATACTCTACATATGTAATAATCTTGATAATTAGAAAACTCTTCCTCTAACATGTAAAGTAACCTTGGTCTCCTCTAAATGTGAACCTGCTTGTTGCAGTTTTCAGAAACTACTTGCACAACCTCCATCTCCTTTTGTGTTTGACCAGTGCCAACATACATGTACAATCATCATATACAAAAGGAGTTGCTTTCTTACTGGATTACAAAATAATAAACTAATATAATAACAATATAAACTATACTTGGATACCCAGGCAAAAAAAAAAATTCATATGGAGACCCCAAGCTTCAAAAGAGCTCATGCATCTTGCTCAGACAAATAAAAGCAGCCTATTTCAGCCTCTCTCTCATTGGGACTATCCAGTGTATAATTACCGTTTTTCTGTTCGCTGCCATTTCAGTATAAGACCAAACAGTTTCTGATATGGCTCAATGTTAACTTTTAAGTTCTCAAGGACTGGATACTCAGTCAGCTCCCATTTGAAAAGTCTCTCTTCCTTATTAATAAAAGCGACTGCTTCATCAGCTTCTTGTATGCATTTCTGTAATGCCCTCATGTCAGTCACATACTGAAATCAAATAATTGTAAAAACTTTTGAGAAATTCTGTTCATGCTTTGATAGGTATATTTAAATGCTACTAAAGTACAAGACAAAGTTAGCTTCTTGTTCTTTGACAAAGGTAATACTTTTTCCCCTCAAACAGATATACTATGAGATTCCCTATACTGAAAAAATAGATTAATATTGAGAATATTAAAATTTAATGTTAATTGACAACTTTAACATTAAATTTTATTTTATTCAAGTCTAACATCAGAAAAAAATCCAAATGATTTGATGTTTAAAGTCATGCTGTACCATAAAGAAGACAATAACTTTTTACCAGTTGATACACAGTCTCAGCAACTGGGATTTCTGATTTTAAGTAACCACTTCTTGCTTTTGAGTGAATTGTTTTAATGTACAAAATCACTCAATCAAGAAGTTAGGCACCTTCTATTTTAAGCATCTTATTAAATCAAAAACACATAGAAGGGAGTGTTTTACTGGTTAAGAAAATGGGTTTGGGGAGTCAGTTTCAGTATTTAGCTCACTGTTAGCATACAGTGGAGCTTTGAGGTTAATGTAAATCTCAAATTCCTATTAAAATTATTAAACTAAAAACATCAGCAAACCAGACTTGATGATTGTTTCCCAGAACTGACTGTACCAAACCAACTAATGAAATTTTGGCTCCAAAAGTCATTGGAAAACCTCCTAATGACTTCACTAGATTTGGGATTTCACCTAACATGTCTTGCTTGGACCCAACTCAAAAGGTTTCAGGCTGCCCATACACGTGCTTGGAGATGGGGGAAGGGGAGAAGGCATTTTAATTAGAGCAGCTCCTGGGCAGCCATTCTAATTAAAACACTTCACTGTCACATGTATTAGGCTCCCACATTTAAAAATGGCTAGATTAATTGAGTCTGCTCCAATGCATTCTCAGTAGAATGCCAACGAGCACATGTATAGGCAGCCTCACTTTCCATATCTTTAATACCAGACTATTCTGAGTGTAGAAGGATGGTGTCCCAGGGTTGCCATGCTGCCCCTAGGTCCCCTCTCTGTACCGTGCCAAGCATGCTCCAAGCACCCTCAGAATCTCACCCGCCACGCCTTTGATCTTATAATTTGACCACAGGGAGGCTGCCCTTCGTCCTCTTGGCTACAGTTCCTGCTGTATGCTGCACCGGTGTTTGGTATGGGTGTTCAGGTACACCCCCGCCTCCTGGGCTATGTGTGGCTCCTACCACCCCTGTTCATCTGTCTCTCCTGCCCACTCTCTGGGGCTTCTCAGCAGTGCTGCCCCCCGCTCTGAAGCTGGGGTCCCCACTCTGATGTGGCTCCCCTAAGAGGCCTCCTCCATCCCCTTATAGCCTCTCCCGAGGCTAACAACCACCAAACACAAACCCCTGGGCTATAACACAAATCTATGCCTCATGGCTAAAATGTCCTCCGAACCACACCACAGGTGTTCCATCTATCACCCATGTCACTAGCTGCTCGCACATCCAGCCCTTTTCCTTTTCACACATTCAGAGCTGAGCTCCTTCCTCCTTAGCCATCAGCCCCCCAAACCCTGGCCTTTGGCCTGCAATTTATATCAGAGCCAGGCCCTGCCCCTTTCGTTCAGCTGACCAGACAGGTGTGTGTCCTTAACTCCCTCCAGTTGCCCCTAGCAACCGGCACCTGAGCCATTCCTCCGGCTCTCCCAGTAGCAGGCACCTTAGTGCCCTGTTACACTGAGATTACTTGATTGGCTCACTGGAACAAAGTCATTAATGTAAACTTTCCATCCAACCATAATATTAGTGTCACTATGGCAGTTACCAAGTACCTGACTGACTAACGAGTTATATAAATATGGCAGGTAGTAAGCTATTTAAAAATGTAACTTTAAAGATTAACTTTTGTGTTTGTTATCAGGAGTATTTGCTACATTTTTAATTGCCTCCATGATCCTTCCGTTAAACATATTTGACTATCTGAACTTCTTTTATACTTTATTTATCAAACCTGTTGCATGCGATCCAATTCAGCATATTCTGCAAATTCTTCCATAATGCGTGTCTGTTTTTCTACTTCCAACATAAGCCTCTCACGTTTGGCCAGTAGTTCACTTTCACCTTTACGTTTAGATTGTTCAATAAGCTACAAAAGCAGATCATTTTTGTGTTTAAAGACAAAAAAATTCTCAACAAGCATTTCAATGATCAACACTAAGCATCAATGCCTCATAAGTTAGTGCTACAAGACCAGAAAGAGGAAAGATACATGGTAGTGAACAGTTATTTAACTTAAGTAATTTGAGTTGAGATGCTGTTGTCTACAAGGATCACACTATGTTTTTCCTGTGCATGTGAGCCCAGAATCTTTTAGCCAGTGGTGTCTGTCAGGGTTGTCCAAGTACCCCCAACAGCACTAATACAAAAGATGGAAAATACCCAGCTGCTACTCAGTCTCATCACTAATATATCAGTGGGGAACAGATAAGAATCTGCGAGTACAAAAGCATCTTGAAGCACTCCACTTCCAATATGACAAGTGACCTCTTTTTCCCTTTTCAAGCATTTGTGCACACAATCTGAATGTAGATGAGTAACTCATATATATAAGCCTCAAAGAAGTGGTTAAGAGGAGTCATATAAAAAAAAAATACAGAACAGTGCTGTCATCTGGGCATCTAAGTCAGAGGCTGAGACAATGGAGTAGTGATTAGCAGATATAAAGCAAATTTCACTGAGCTGCTGTTCACATTTAAGAAATCAAGACATCTTTGCTGGAAAAATAAATGTCCACTGCCTGCAGTTTCTCTCAGCAGCAGCACAAGATTAGAAAAATACACTGGTAATTGTACAAAACTAGTTTACAGGAAAAGACCCAAACCACTTTTACTAAACATTTTGGATGTGGCCTGAATAATTCTTTCCAGATGAAACATGAAGGGCCACCCATCAAGATTTGAAGCTTATTCTCTCTCTCACTCTCTGCCAAGGTGATAGCTACGAAGAACGCTATTTTGACAAAGAGACGATAAAAAAAATATAGGTGACATGGATTTCAAATGGAAGGGCCATAAAAACTGTAAGCATGAAAATCCCTGGTAGAAAATGGTTCTTTAAACTAGTGGAAATATGTGAAGCCCCTAAGAAACCTAGATACTGTGGGATGTGGGTACACGGGCAAACAATGGTTGAAACAGAAAGAGTCCAAAGACTGAATGTGACTCTGCATAGACAAAACACCTTCACTCAGCTTGATGTCTGCATTTCTTTTCATATCAAAACCTCTTGTACAGCTGTTGAACTGCTTCTGTGCAAACTTAGTTCCATGCTGTCAAATTTCAACTCTGACAAAATGTTGTCTAGTAGGTTTGGAAATGCAAAAGATAGTCTGGTTGTTAGTGTATCACATGGAAGCAGGTACCTAAAAGAGAGTATCTTGGAACCAGGCACACACTACATTTACCTTTCAAAGATAGTTTTTGTGACAAGAGTGCCACTATTGGAGCCTCTCTGGGTATGGCTCCGCCCTCCTGTAATGGGCCAACCGCCTGCTTACTTGCCTGCCATGCCTTGATCTTATTTAATTAATAGATTGCTGTAATTAGCAGGAGGCTGCCCATTTATACGCGCCCTGATGACAGGGGGTGCCATCTGCGGCTCCTTTTCCTTCCCTACACCGCAGCCCAAGCCTCGCAGATAGTGCTGGTGTAATCTAACTCTGGCCCTGTTATGTCTCGGCCCTCCTTTTGCCCTTGGGGCTCCTTGCCGCCCCTCTGCACTCTCGGAACTCCTCACCGCCCCTCTGCACTCTCAGGGCTCCTCTGCCTCCTCTCTCTCGCTCTCTCGGGGCTAGGCCAATGTACCCCGCAAAACATTGCGCCTTCTCCAGCACCAGGAACCCACTGGGGAGTCCCTATGAGACCTCCTCCGACCCCTAATAGCCTCACCCGGTCTTCCAGTTAAACAGTAAACACAAAACACAAAGCCCCCAGGCTATAACAAAGCTAAAACCGTCTGGTCAGAACTCCTACCAGGCAAAATACTCCAGCTCATGGCAGCAACCCACGGATACTCATGCAGCCAAACCCTGGCCTTCTCTCCTCACTGGCTGAGCTCCTCACTCCTTGGCTGCCAGAAGAGGAAATCCCACCCTAGCCTCCTGCCTGGGTTTAAGAAGGGCTAAGCCCTGCCCCTTCCTGTCAGGGGGTTTCGCCGGTTGCCCCAGCAACCAGCATCTGTGCTGCCCTGGTGACTGACAGCTGCGCCTCCCCCTTCTCACCACTAGGGGCCTCTCCTGAGCCATCCCTGTTCTCTGGCGCAGGGCACCTAAGTGCTCTGTGACAGTTTTAAATAGACACCACAAGCTCTCTGCATATTTGTAGAAACAGAATTCAAATGACATTTGCTAGGGATCTGAAATTCCCCTAAAAATATTTTTTGTTTAATAAAATAAACATTGGCATGCCTAACCATCCTGCAGGCTGGGTAAATTTTCATTTTCAGAGACCTGCTTTCCACCATTAGGCCTCCTTCTTAGTACTAACACAACACCCAGTGGATTCTGTGGGCAAACATGTGAAGAGGAAGCAGAAAAATAATAAGGTAAACTATTTACTATGGACTAGAATCGTACATGGAAAATTTCAACATTGGCATGTGTTTCATTAGAAAATTTTTATCAAATAATTGGAATTCCTAATTATTTTAATTAGAGAACAAAGCATCATGTGAAAGAATTAGGAGTAAATTTAGAAACAAAAATAATTTCTTCATATACATTTTCGCTAACTGATGACTGAATTCCTAAAAGGGCCTGAATAAATTGCCCAGACATGGGGATGATGAATGCGCTTCTAGAATCTGGATCATCTTCTGACCACTAAAAACATTTATATTTGTGCAAATTAAAATGACATTACTCAACTCTCATGCTTCAAGGCAGATTTCTTGAAGGAAGGAATCTTACTTAATATGTACAGTACTATTCAATTGACTAAGTGCACTGTAGTGAAATTCCACCTTCCTCTGAATTAAGAGATATCCAAGAGGCAAGGCTTTTTTTGTGATATTTCCAGCATGGCTAAGATAATCTAACACTACTCTGAATGATCAGGTACTGGACACAAACCAAAAATAACTGACTTTCCAAAGGTTTAAAATTCAAATGCCAATTTTCTATATTTTTAAACTACTGGTACTTAGTAAATATACAATTATTATATCCTCTGCAAGTACACCAGTAGGTATAGATTTGCATACAGATATGTAAATCTGGTACTATGGATCACCTTTTAATTACTGTTATTTTATATGACTGACTTGGACAATTGTTAGCAATGATGAAAATGAACTGTTGAAATGCTGTATTACACACAATAAATTAGAATACATAATGTACAAAGAAAATATCTTTACATCATCATTTTCATCAAAAATGGGATTAATCGTCTGAGGCCACAGAAGGACTGTTGCATTCAGCATCAGATCTTGAGGAGTAAAGATAAAAACATCTAAAAGGTAATTCATTCGCTGATGGCTTTCCTGTAAAAGAGATTCCATGGAAGGTTATATTTCATACATTTACTAAGGTATAGGAGAGAATAAATTACTTAAAATAAAAGAACAGTATAAATTGCTCGGAAGTTTTCCAGAACTTAAATCCATTCTTCATCATGTTGATACAAGTGTAAAATCTTGGCCCCACTGAAGACAGTAGCAAAACTCTGACTGACTATTGGGTTTAAGACTACAAATTGTCATGAAATTGTCCTCTCTTTGCTCTGAAAGGGAATTAGAACATGCTGAAGATTCCCACTTAGAAGTTTCAGAGAAAAGATATCACAATGATCAGCTGCTGGGGATTAGGCTTCTTGATCTCCACTTCTTCAAGAGACCAAAAAACATCTAAATTTTCATTGCACATATCACTGTGCAGTTGTCTCTCAGACAAACTGAAAATCTATTAGAAAAGCAAACAAAGTCCATGCCTCCCTTAATGTGCAAACTTTTTTATCTTCTTTTCCTATCACCTTTAACTTGGCATGAGGAATTCTTCTTGCCAATTGTTCATGACAGCTATTTATCCTGGAACAATTCTGTGCATCACATGGATACAAAGATCTCTTGGTTCTCTGAGATTTTATGGCTGGGTATGTCACATATAATTTAGACTGTAATTTTGCTACTCTGTTTTTCATGTATGCAGAGTCAAAGTCCTAGTGCTAAATGAAAATAACTTCTCATTAATCCCTTACGCATAAGTGACTGGTCTCTGACATTTACAAAAAAAAAATCTGATGTCACGGGATAGTTGCAACTGTAAAAAAAATGCATTATTTACATGAACCAAGAAATACCCATTTGTTTCCTTGGGTGTTCATTAAGCTAGTGAATACCATTTAATGGTTGGGCGTCAGGCTTTTTTTTTTGCAAAAAGACTCAAATTTATTTCCTGAAAGTTTGGCCTTCAAAGTCACTGAAGTAACCTAGGCTAGGGAAAGCCTCTAAAACTTAGTGGTCTTACAAAAGCTTGTAAGACCACTTGTGAAAAAGCTTGTGATAAAAGCTTAAGTTCTAGTCCATCTAAGGTGTGCTACAATAAAGGAACATCCTGCCCACACCATCTCACAGACTTGCAGAACACAGGGAAGTAGAAAAATAAAATGGACAGGAGTCCATACAGAGGGGGCACACAGGCTTGCTCAAGTGCCAATATGTAACAGAGATCCAGAGAAAGGTCACTGGCAACAGATCTGCCAACCTCACGTCTGTGGGCTCCTATACACATGCAGGGAGGCTGCTCCAATACTCTGTAATTACAGCACATGGGAGCAGACTTGATTAATTGAGTCTGCTAGAGTGTGGTTATTACCACGCTCCAGCAGACTCCAGTGTTACATGTATCAGTGTCCCCAGGCTGAAAAATGGTGGTGGGGCTCTTTAGCTAAAGCTGGTACGACGATCTTTAGTTAAAGTGCCCCCACCGCCATTTTCAGCGGGGGACGCTGATACATGTCAGATGCTCCAGGCACTTTAATTAGCACAGCTCTCAGAACATGTCTATAAATGTCCTGAAGTAGCAATGTAGAACAGTTCCATTGATACCTGTGGCCTAATCAGGAAAAATTCTTACTCCAGCCCTAAATAAACACTACAGAACTGGGTGTTTGGTGAACGATTTAAGTGTAAGGGAATATAGTCATTTACCTTGATCCTTACAATCAGCTCTTGAATACCTGTGGTTTTTGCTTTTTCTACATAAGTTACTGTTTCCATCATTTCTTCTGTTGTCTCCGGAACTTTTAATGCATGATCTTTAATTGTTTCAAATTCCTGGCATATCCTGTAAAAACATTCTTATTTAATAAATGTCAAAGTTTTACAATGTTGTTTAGCTTGCTTTCTAGTTCAGATATAACCTCTGTAATATACATTCTGTCAGCTGCTAAAGATTCTTGGAATTACAGTTCAAATTACTTTTCTAAAAATAATGGAACTATAACAGGGGGCCATCTTGCAGCCAGTCTAATCTTTGGCCCACCCACCTGTCTAGGGCAGTCCGCCCACCCGCCACACCTTTGATGTAACTTAATTAGTAGTTGTTCCTAAGGTCAGAGACCACCCATTTACTGCCTGATGCCAAGGGCATAATACACGGCTCCAAATCTCCCCTTATACCATGTCCCATGCCTCGCAGATGGCATCATTTTGTGGCTCTGGCCCCATAACAGACCTCATTCTATGCCCACCTGGCTTTCAGATCCCGCCTGGATCCCTCCTCCTCAGGCAGTCTACTCTGCCCTCATTCTGGGGAGCAAAACGCCCTAAACTCTTTTCCCTTGTGGCTGTGGCCCCCTCTGGGACATTTGGGCTCACTGGCCCTTGCCTCACCTCTAGGCCAGTCAGAACTCCTGGCCCCTAGCCTCTAGCCATACCTCCTGGTGGGCACTCTGGCCCTTTGACTGGCCTGGTCCTGGCCCCAGCATGGGGCAATTAGGTTATTTAGTGTAGTACTGAGCCGCTTGTCCTTACACGTCCATACAGGTCCACCTTCTCGGGCCCCTCCTAACATCTCTCTCTCTACTCAGGCCAGACTATGCATAGTCCTTCAGGCCTTACTCTACACAGCCCATACACAGTCCTTTAGGCCCTCTATATGGACCCAACTCTACGCAGTCCAATCAATCACTTTTACACACCCTCTCACTGGGGCCCATACTCCGCCCCCTCACCGGGGCTACTACACCACCCCATCACCAGGGCTCTCGGGCCTTCCGCCCCTTGGGTCTCAGGTCTGATGACATGCTTGGACCCCTCGCCTGTGTCCCCTACAGGGTAATGCACCAGGTCATGGGGGTTGAGGCTATATGGCACCCCATACTCACCTTTCACTAGGGAGGCACCAGTGTGGCTTTTCCTGGGGACTACCCCACCACAGGCAGGACTACCAAACCATCCTCCCCCAGCCGGGTGTAGCTTTAGGTCATTCTCCAAAACCAGAAACCTCCTCCATTCCCATAGGTCCTACCCTGAACCTCCAGATGTTCTGGGAGCAGTAGCTCTGGCTGGTGATGGAAACCCGCTGGCTCCCTGCAGCAACTGCCTGCTCAGTTCTGCAGGCCTAGGTTTATACTGAGGTTGCTCAGCCCCATCCTCCAATCTAGGAGCCCTCTCATGGTCACACGACCACCTTGTTAGGCCGCATCACACCTGCTAGCTGCTCCACAGCTTGCACAAGCCTCTTAAAGTGGCAGGCACCACAGGTGTCCTGCCACAGGTACAATCGGCCCTGATATAACTTTATGATTCCAATTAAACAGTGAATGTGGATGTACTCTAGGTGCTGCTCTCTTTATTTTTAGTCTTCCATTAGCCCTTAAAATACTTATCGTCATAATACTTATTTAATCTTATTAAAATCAAATTTTGCTATTCTGGCAAAATAACATTCTGGCATCATAAGCCTTGACAGGAATCTTAGAATTTTACTGTGCTATCATAAATTTAATTTAACCCTTTCCTGCAGTTCATATTATCTATTATATATGCAGAGTTTAAAAGAATCAGGCAGTTCTCTTCTCAGTCCAATTCTGGCTGCATTACTGCAATTTAGACTGCAGAAACTAGGAATATAGCAAAAGGAAACTCTTACCATCCAATTTCCCCAGCACTAGCTATGTTTGGTTGCACAACTGTGCTGTTCCTGGTTTTAGGTCTGGAGGACACCATTCAGTGCTGTTCCCTTGGGGACTTTCAATTAACCAAAATTTTGGTTAAATAATGGTATGACATGCTGTATATTTACATAATGCATGTATGCAAATAAGTGTAATGTGAATCATTTTCCTTTATAAGCAAAAGGTCTACTCACTTTTCATTTTCCTCTCTGTGATTAGCAACTATCCTTTCCAGCAGCATGTTTGCAAAGCTTTTTGCTTTATCAGCCAAACCCTGCTTCAAATCATCACAGTCCAAGCGCATCATAGGAAAATGAGCCAGTTGGGGTAAACTCATAATTTCCTTAGCAAGACTGAGGAATTCGTCTATGAACTTCAAAATAACATTGCACATTTTACTTTGCAGACTTATTATTTAAAAAATTTGGATCTGTAAGATCAATACATTATAAAAATAAGCTTTAAATATAATTAAATACTGGATTCTGATTATCACATGCATTTGGGAGGCATGGGGGGAATCAAGTTGTTGTGGATTCTGGGTACTTAAAATGTTTTTTGTACTAATGGCAGTATGCCTAATTTCCTTCCTTTTTATTTAACTATAGCAAATAAAGATTAAGTATAAATGTAGAATTTAAACTTACAATAGTATATTCATCAAAACTGTGCTTCTCTGCTTCAAAGGTATCTATATGCACTTGTGCAGTTCCGTCTACAAGCCAGCCATACCTTTCAACTATAATGCAATAATCTTATTAAAAGTGCATTAAACTTAACACAAAGTAAGCTAAACTTTCCATAAACTTCATTTCAAGTAATACATTTCATCACAAAATGCACTCATCTCACTTACCATAACTTTCAAAATATTCTTTTGGACCTTCCAAGTTGTCCTGGATTGCTTTTTTCAGTGTAGATGAGGCCCAAGCTATTACATGATCAGCAAGTTCAGTGTCCAGGGTTGTAGCTGTGGCCCCTCCTGCTAGCCAAGAATGTACGGTTTGAACATGCTAATACAAGTAAAAGACAAAATCAATTCATTAAAGCAAACAATAGAACAGCTATATGCACAGTTAGATGCACATCCTTGCAATGAAGTTTTTAAAAACCAGTCTTATTACTTTCTTGTATTAGAAAAGCTCTTAAAAGCCTCAGTCAAGATTAGGGCTAAAATATTACACATGCACAGACTCCCTGGTTCAAACAGGCAAGGTACTTTTCTTCATCTGTAAACAATGATAATAGACAAAAACTAAAGAATTTAGTGCTATATTCTAGCCCTCTCGCATATTAAATTTTATCTTTTGTTTTTAATAGCTACACTGAAATCCATAAGCCTATTCTCAAAATAAGGTATTATTAAAAATAAGAAGGATGGCCATCGGGGACTTGTTCAGAGTCACCCCAGAAGTGTGCAACAAATTTCTGGAGTACAAGTCTGGTACCTTAACCATAACACTTTATGATAAATATATAGGACTGTGATTTCATGTTTTAGGAATTTCTTTCCTTTGCTTTAACCTTAGCAAAAATGGCACTTCTGGTTTCCCCTGGTTTTGTCTGCAGACTTTGCAATGAGTTTCAGCACAAGATTATTGTAAGCCCTTGCACCTTAATTTAAGGGACTTGTTAACAGAGATCTCTTGCACCAGAATGTTAATTAGCCTGCAAATTAATTTGAGGGAATCCAAAGAAACCAAAACAAATTAGAGTTTTAAACAGTCTAAAACCCAGGGCCCTGTCCATTACTAAGGTCCCCAATAAACAGAATTTTTTTTTTTGGTGCACACTACCTGAATTTCCAACGTTAAGAAAAATAAAAATTAGAATATTTACTAACCTACATACAAAAGCATTTTCCGAATTTCTAAATATATCAAGAAAGAACATAATAAACAATCACCTTTGACCTACAAATTGCTTTTCAGGATAAGTTTTCTGTCTGGATTCTACCTGTACTTGAGCAAAATTTCATGTACATACATACATACATACATACATGTTCAAACTTGAAATATAATACAACTTCACTATAACACATTCTGCTTGAACAAACCCCCATTTTAACAATCCCAAAGCAAGAAGCTTTTTTTTTTTTGTTTTAAATTATGATGGAGCAAACTGACTAGCTCTATTAAGCAAACACAATCTTTTAACTTTTCTCATGGTCCCATAGGAGTTCATTATAATGAGGTTGTACTGGTCTCTAACACCTGTGCCAAATGAGTGTTGGTGCAAACTTTATTTACTGGGCTGTTCACTATTTCCTCAGAGGGTTGCAGGCTATAAGGCAAGGCAATGTTCAATTTCCCTCCTTTGAACTGGCAGTTGCCAAAGCATATACTAAGCATTAAATGGCAGATAAGCAAGATATTCCTGCAAAAAGGAGCTTGAAAAGACACAACAGAGCTAAGCAATCTGGCTGTCCAAAGGCATCGTGTTCTGGGTTACAGAATCCTTGTAGCAGAAAATCCTTGATGCATTAGGCTACATCTCTCCTTCCCATTAACAGGCTGGACAGGGAATTCAGGATCTGATCCTAAATTATTAATATGTTCACATAACATTGCACTTGCAAATTTAAGAGGTAAATACAGTTAAACAGCACCTGAAGAGTCTGTCCTATCCGAGTCACTGTAAACAGAATGGTGTCTTCCAGATCTTGAAAGCTTGGATAAAACTCCATTTTCTCATCATCAAAAGTCAATTCCATTTTAAATAGCAGTAGACTTCTTTTGTCTTCAGGATCAAAGAGCTTCACGTAAGCTTCAACAGTTCTTCTCAACAGCTCTTTCAGCTAGATAATACCGTATGTTGATGTTGTTACAAGAGAACACAAAATGACATTTCTCTTCCACTTTTGTACAGTTAATCAGAATTTCCATTTCATTTAAAAAATTTGAGACTGATGCAGAGCCTACAATACCATATTTACTCAAATCTAAGATGATCCTGAATTTAAGCTAACCCCCCTAATAATGGTATTTTATACATGGAAAATGTATACATTCATTATAATTTTCCATGTATAGAACATAATTATTGAAAGGTTGTCTTAAATTCATCCCCCTTCCCCTATGCAGAAGGTGGCAGGCAGTGGAGTGGCAGGTGGTATAGGGAGGTAAAGCAGCTTGCCCCTTGCTTGTGCCTGCCACCCTGCCATTTCTGTTCCCCCATAGCCTTGGGCTCCCCCTTCCTCCTCTGCCTCTGCTCCCCACCCTGTCCTTCATCC